GGGTGATTAATTGCAAAGATTGAACTTCACACACAATTCGGTTACAGATGAACAGTACAGTCTATCATTTGGCTTGGGCGCCATTGAATTCAGACTATGATTTATAATGACAGAAACATATTAACAGACAGTTTATAATCGTCTTCTGCCATTCTATAAAATATCGAGCTTACTTTATTAATTTAGCTTCACATTGTTTATTAATTGAATAGTTCCAACACCTGTCATCGTGGTCTGGTATTCTTTATCCAGTTTCATATTTTCATAGACCAAAATGGCTGATAAACAGTCAGCGAGAAGGTTCAGGCATTATTAGAACATTCATTGACTCAAGAGTTTCAGAAACAAAGGTAAATGGCCAAGGAATTCCTTAATATATGGTGGACAGGTTTAAAACTTTCTTGTAATTTGCGAATTTTGACGTTATCATTTAATGTAATAATATCCCAGTACAATTCCGGAAAGAGATGTCGTCGGTACTTTTAACATGATAAAATATTCCAACGATTCCCAAACGTGCAATATTTTCGTTGTTGCTTTCAACGTATGCGTCACAAAAATTAACTGAATTTGCATTTAATCTAATTTGAAGGTAAAATTATCTGTGAACAATCAATGGGAACACATGTTTTTCATCCTGCATTAATGTAATTACTGGCCAAGCCATGCACATTGTTGCATTCTACTAATCTTAACATCAACTAGAACTGCGATACAGTACTGACGGGTTTCACCGGCGCCGAGTTACCATTGAACTTACTTCACTTCCGGTACCAATGAAACCCTTAAACAGATTTCCACATAAGCATTGCACACGTGTTATAAAACGGAAGCAGAATCAACCAAATTCAACAATATCCGTTCCATTTATAGATTTGTTACCATGTATTACATATGTCAAAATAGTGATCCTGATAAAATTGGTTACTAACTTACCGCTAAGTTAGCTGATGAGACTTTCTAATGGGAAATTAAAATGCGAAAAAGAATCTTTAAAAGTGGCCCTGGCAAAATTGGTTACTTCTCAGTAACGGAAGAAGTTAGAAGCAATTGTTTGATATCTATAGCATCGTATTAAATCATTCTATATGTTGGATGAAATTAAATATCATAAATTTAAAGCAATATTGAATAACACTCATTTAAAGAAGATATTTGTTTTGAAGGCTAAAAATACAGTTTTTGTCGGAATGTTGTCACTTTCGGTAAAAAGAATTTTTGAAATTGGTTTTATGAAACCACAAATGGCATTAGGCATCAAATGATGAAATTTTTTATAAAATCAAATAATAATTGACAATTGTATGGACCAAAAACCGTTAAAAAAGACTTGCAGAAAATTGTCTGTCTTCCGCAACTGAACAAGTTAGAAACCATTGTGTGATATCTATATGATCGTATGGGTCCATTCTATTTGTTGAATGGAATTAAATATCATACTTTTAAACACATAACAAATAAGACTCATTTGAATAAAATATCTGTTTTGAGGGTTAGAAATACAGTTTTGGACAAATCGGCGTCACTTCCGGTGTCAATTTTAAATTCTACTCAAATTTGTATAATGCACATTTGCTTTATGCATCAAATAGTGTTACTTTTATGAAAATCCAATAATAATTCACTCTTTTACAGGCAAAATAACTTGAAAAGTGACTCGTGCAAAATTGCCCATTTCTCGGCAACTGCTCAGATTACAAACTAATTTCGGCATAGATTGTGTTAGTATCGATATATGCTTCAAGTTTATGAACATTACTTAGAAATATCAGATTTATAAAAATTAATATCTGCTTCCGACAAAAAACTTTACCGGCGACAAAAAAGTTGAGAATTTGCACCATGAAACATATGAACTTTATATTATACATATCGGGAAAAAAATAATTAACAATATAGAACCCATAAACTGAAACTAAAAAGGCAAAAAATCTTTAAAAAAAGATCCTGACAAAAATTGGTTATTTCTCGACAAGGGAAGATGCTAGAGGCATTTTTTAAAATCTATATGATCGTATTGATCCAATCTATATTTCCATTGGAATCAAATATCATAATATTAAACAAATACTAAATATAACCCACTTCAAAAAGATAGTTGTTTTGGAGGCTAAAAACACAGTTCTTGCAAAAATGACATTACTTCCGTTGAGAATGTAAATATTAAATTAGTTTTATGAAATCAATAATGACATAAGGCATCACATAGTGAACATTTTATAAAAATCGAATAATAATTGACACTTTTATAAACCAAAGTGAAAAGTGAAAACCTTAAAAACCTATTTGCTGATTTTGAAGGCTAAAAATTCATTTTTGGGCAAATGACGTCATTTCCGGTGATAATGAAAATGTTAAAATGGTTTGACCTAGTCGATAGTGGCATTAGGCATCAAATGGTGAAAGAAATAACGTAAAAAGTGACTCGTGCTTAATTGCCAATTGCCAATATTACAAACTAATTTTGTCATAGATTCTCTTCGTATGGGTTATTGCTACGAGTTTATGACAGTTACGAAGAAATATTTTAAAATATGAAAGACGCTGGATGGGTTGTAAATAGCTTATTTTTACACCTTTTTCACCTTTTAATCTAAATGGCTCGAAAACGAAATCGAAATTAAAAAGACCTAGCCTGATGTTTTATGCGCCTTTACATGGCACACCCTTTTCAGTTCTATTAGATTTGAAAAAAAATAATATTTGCTTTCAAAAAGTGGTACCGGAATGTCAAAATTGTAGTTTTTGCTAAATTTACGTCACTTCCGGTGCCGAAAGGACACTTTCCCTGTAACAAAAAAAAAAGACATTTTGGATCACGGAGTATATGAACTTTGTTTTATACAAATCGAATAATAAATAATCTAGGACTGAAAAACTGAATTGGCCAATGGCGGCCAAGGAAATTTACGATAACACAAAATGTTGCCATTTTTGGTCAGATCAGATGAATCTTTAACCCTGGGTAAAATGCCATATAAATATGCATAAATTAAAAAGTTTCAAATTTAAATTTTCAAAATTTGGCGCCTAATATCTTCGAAGATTCGTCGAAAATCAAAAATCCAAAGTACCGTAGCTATTTTCCCTATCTCCGGCTATGTCAAATTGTATCAAATGTTAAAATCCGATCATTATTGTTAATATTACGGCAATATTTAAAAAAAACCCGACAACTTCGGTGATTTCGGACATTTCGCGTTGTCGCAGACAGAAAGTTCGAAATAGCTTTAAACTCTAATAAAACATCGAATTGATCCGACAAGTAGTTTCTGAGATATGCTCAAGTGGGGACAAAAATAATAAGAAGAATAACAATCTTAATAAAAGCAGTGTTTCACACAAGCTACGCAGTGTAAAACCCTAATTATCTGCCTTTTAGCAGACACCTGGAGTTTTCTTTATTTCATTTCGTTTATTTCTAAAAAAAAAGGTGATTGACGTAGTTTTATAAAACGAAACGAAATACCCACTCTTGCCAAGATATTGACTCTATATTTCAATTCTCTGGTGCGGATGATGTACTTACGTTGGCATGTTTTGAGACGATGCATGTCTGTAATTTTATATCGACCAATTAGACATTAGATGTGATGGAATCTCGTTAAGACAAGGCTGTTCTTCTATAATAAATAACTTAGAATAGAGACGTACCAACTACAGGCAATGAATCATCACTCGGTGGCTGTTATGTAATGTGATCAATCATCATTATACTTACTTTTGCCTAGATATCGACTGATGATGCAACAATAATAGAACAACCATAAACATTTAGAACATCAGGAAAACAGCATTATCTTGATAGCAACGTGATCTGTATCACTGAACATTTGCCGGGCGTAAACAAATTAGTTTGTATTTAGACTTCTTCTACAAACCCTTTTAATAACGTTTCATGATATATGATTGAAACTTTATCACTTGCAATGATAAATACCCCAAACAAAGGAACAAAGTTAGGAGCCTCGTTTCTTGTTTCCGTTAAAGAAGCATTATGTAAGAGCTAAATCTGTCTATTGGTCTTTCTCCTGACCTAAAATCTTACATGATTAGACATTTATTTAACTGAAATTTTCAATATATTCCCTTTTCATCATTTAATTTTAAACGTTTATAGCTTTTTATCTTAATCTTACCTATATAATGCATTTGAATTCAATAGAAAAAAATAATTAATAATAAGGGTTCCTTAGAAAGTAATTTACACACTTAAAACTCCAAAAAACTAGGTTAGATGTCTTCTTCATCTTGATGTTCATGGAAAGAAATTATCCTTCATGTAATTCAGTTAAATGAAGATGGCGCAGGCATGAAATCAATAGAGAGTAATGTGAATTTTAGATAGCCATAACATATTTTAAATATGGTTTTCTATGTATGCTCTGAAGTCTATATTTTCATTTAAGTTTGGAATATTTTACCTTTAAGGATTCTCTTTACTTCAATATAATATCAAGAACTGTGACAGATAACTCAGCGCCATTGAACAGTTTACTGGACAAAAGGCGATAAAATACATTATTATGAAAGATGATTTAAAATCATTTATCTTTATTATTATGGTAAATAATAAGAAATGAATGAATGAATGAAAGGCCCTACTTTTCTACCTAACGAGCTAATGAAAATGAGCATTCACCATGCAGTGTGCTTTGATTGGAGAATTTGCCCGGGCAGCAATTGCATTCCAACTGTCAAATGTACTTTTACGTGCACCACATCGTGTACACGGAACCTCGAGTTTCCGTCCCATCCGAACGACTATTCACTCTCGTTGGCACCCCCCCCCCCCCCGCGCCCTGCATCACTGACAAGGTGGAACTGCATAATAAATAGCATTTACCAACTGTGTCAAATTAATGTTGGAATGTGTGGATTATTGATAAGAGGTGTGTTTGAGAAGTGATAAGTTGGGTCATGTGCATCAGATTCTACAGTGCTTATTTTAATACAGGTATTTTTTAATAATAAAGTAATAATATTGTGTTTTATTTTAGTGGTATTGGTGCTGCCGGGATTGTATTAGCTGGTATAGGAGGGTGCTGTTTATTAATCGTTATATTTTTAAGTATACATGCTTATTGTATTTGGTATGTTCGGGACCAAGAAACGCAAACTTCGGTAAGTATACAATACCCGCCCTCGACGGATTTCACAAACGGTACATTAAGATTTCGTTAACTGCAAAAATTTATCTATATAAACATACTTGACAGGAGTAGAAGACACATTTTAACGTCCATAACTGGTAAGAACGCATTAGATGTGTTCAGGATTGTTAAGTTTCACCACTGAAATAACACCTAGTGTTTCAATTTGAACATATTGTGTTCAACTATATATGATCGCTGAGTGTTCATTGCTGAACATTATTTGAGGCGTCAGGTGTTCAAAAAGCGTCCTAAAGATTTACAGTATGAGCTAATTTAATCGGTTTAAATAAATATAGAAATCAAAAGTTAAACTGTACATAAACAGTATAATATACTGAAACTTTAACTGAGCCGTTCGGGTATGGTTGGCACAATTCCATATTCGCAAGGAATTGGCGTCTATGTGCCATTCTTATTATAACTGTTATCTAGACACAAATATAGTGCATGAGCAATGATCGTGGCTACATGTAGTTTAAATTATTTGAAAAAACAATCAAACCAAGTATGAGAAGTATCCAATTTTATTCCCTAAAATATATCTACTACCGTTCCTCATTTATGATTCAATATTTAAAGGTAGTATTACACCTGTGGAGACCCAAAAGTGTTTCTCTTAAAATATTTGCAGTCACATAATTTACTTCCTCGATCTGAAAAAAAATCAGTTTAAAAGCTCTTTTTGGTGTCTTTAAATGTAGTCTTGTATTGTCGTCACTCATGTCTGTTCGTCGATCGGTCAGTCGTCAACTTTGTGGACGCTCTACAGGGTATAGTCCCTTTTCCTGGAGCAATGGTCCGAGAACTCCTCCGCTAGTGGGATTATGTCTAATCTAGCGTATATTTCGTTACTTGGCAACCTATCTTTCGAAATGTTATTTCTATTTTGCCCCAAATTTATCAAATATGACAAATTGTGTCATCACATTACAAATATAATATGTTATGAGTAATCCTAAAAGATAAGTAATGGAATTACACTTAAGTTATCATTATAAATCCGTAATAGGGTTCTTATCTGTCGTAAAAAAATTTGAGTATTTCGGCAACTGCTAACTGATTAAAGATAAATTTTGGGAGAAAAAATATGAGAATAACTTATACATTCACCTAACGTGTGTTCATGGTTGATCAAATTTAGATTGGCATGGCACCAACTATATTTGTATCCTACCGCACTCAAATGGCAAACTCAGCAAGACAGTAGAAAATAGATTTCCTTCCAGATTTTATATACGCACACAGTTTCACGTTGACGTATTATGCCAATAGAGACATTTGGCAAGCGTAAATTTCTGGTCCATATCGCGTACAGTACAGTTGTTACTAGCTTTATTTTTATATACGCACACAGTTTCACGTTGACGTATTATGCCAATACAGACATTTGGCAAGCGTAAATTTCTGGTCCATATCGCGTATCCGTATCGATTTTGTGCGTGACGTCATCAATGCCTGTGTATTTCTCATAGTGAAACGGCACGCGGATATGAAATGAAATGGAGTTTAACGTCCTACTGTTCTGCTCCTAACCTGGGCTAATGAAGACGGGCATACGCCATACAGTGTGCTATGAGGGAAATTTTGCCCAGACAGCGGCACTACGGCCTACTCTTATATCGAATTCCAACTGCCAAGGGATCTTTTACGTGCACGCCAATGTGTACACGGGACCTCGGCTTTTTGTCCCATCCGAACGACTAGACAGCTTTCCTTGTCAGCCCCTCCGTCCTGCATCACTGACAAGGGAGAACCACGCCGGAAAATCTGGATGAACTTTCTCGGCCAATGCAGGGATCGAACACCCGACCTCCAGGCTAGCGAGCTAGCGTCTTACCCACTTAGCCACGTGATCCCCACACGCGGATATGGCACCACGTATTGAACAGCTTTTATACGGAAAAGGTCTGTATAACATTGTCGGTTTTTTTTACCGTATTGTTTGCTATTTTTAGACGCTGAAATGTTGCGCCGTGGCGTTTTTTATGAATCTATGTGTATTCTAGAACACGAAGGTGTATATTTGATGTGATTTTAACCATGATAAAGACGGGAATTTAATCATTACTTTCGGTGAGCTTTTCGCGGAATTTTCATATTTTTCCTGTCGGTCTGCATGTTGGCTGATCTACGTGCTAAATTTAGGGAGGTGGGACCTTGCAAATCTGTAAAAGGGGTATATACTTTCTGAAAGGATCCATTGGTGAAACCAAAAATTGCTGTCGATCGAAGTCATGCTGTAATAGAACTAAGCTCAGCTCAGCTACCCATACGTACGCGGCGTGAAAATCTGCCAAAAACTCTAAAACTACATTGACCCAACTATCACGTGACGATACGGATACGTGATACGGATGGGAAAAATTCCACTTGCCGCTGTTCACCCGCGCACTTTATATTTATAGGTCAATAGTGGCACCATTCTCACGAAAGAAGAATTTTGTCCGCCATACTTGAAACAAATCAGTCTTCTACTAGTTTTACCGGGATTTTGTGATGTGTTAAGCTTGGAACCCGTTCTGGAGTAGGAACCCAGGGTATTATTTGTTCTGAAGTTGTGTTTTTTTACTTTGAGACCATACCCTATCAGCTGAAAAGGGAATCAAAGTTGTCCTTCATATTTTGAAATAAACCTACGCACTCGGGTCACTAGGGGGCGTTCTGAAGCCAGAAGCCAGGGGATTTTTTGTTCTGAAGGGCACTTTTCAAGTTTGCCTTAGCAACGTGAACAAATGTAGCAAAGATTAACTTTGTCCGCAAAAATTTGAATTAAATCGACTTTTTCGGTGATTTCGGGGGCGTGCAGCCCCTAAAACTAGGGGATGTGCAACTTAAGAATTCCCATTTTGATCATCAGCCATGATGGTGCCTCCGTTAGGCATAGTGCCAATTTTGTCCGCGAGTTTAGGAATAACGGTCAGCTAGCTCCCCTACAATGTGGGGATTCTAGAGGTCACAATTTTTATCCGATTTTAATGAAAAATAATATGTATGTTTATGACCCAAAGATCCTGGTTCATTTCGGTATTGGCGCACATCGGACAGTAACTTCCTGGATTATGGCCCCTGATTGTACGAAAAATCAAGTTTTTAGCGTGTGGACCATATAGAGGTTACAATTTTTGTCCGATTTTAAAAACCGTTCAAATATATTACCGTTACACCATATGACGGCCGAGTTCGAATTTCTTGAAAAGCGGACCGAAACTGTCCGACAAAATGGCCGCGCCCCGTACATAAATACATGTAGTGTAAAAGTATGAAATACCAGGGTTGTGGACCCTCTAGAGATCACAACTTTTATCCGATTTTGATGAAACTTATGTCTGACCGTAATTAATAACCCGTATTATGGCCCCTTATTGGAAGAAAATCGCCCTTTGAGCTTGTTCTCTGTCCATCTCTTGCAAAATGTGGGCGTATCTTGTGTGTATATATTAAAGTAGCAAGCCCAGTCTAAACCATACAAAATGAAATGGGGTTTAACGTCCTACTGTTCTGCTCCGAACTGGGCTAATGAAGACGGGCATACGCCAGTCATACAGTGTGGTATGAGGGAAATTTTGACGGGACAGCGGCACTACAGCCTACTCTTATATCGAATTCCAACTGTCAAGGGATCTTTTACGTGTACGCCAATGTGTACACGGGACCTGGGTTTTTCGTCCCATCCGAACGACTAGACAGCTGTCCTTATCAGACCCTCCGTCCTGCATCACGGGAACCACGCCGGAAAATCAGGTTGAACTTTCTCGGCCAATGCAGGGATCGAACACCCGACTTCCAGGCTAGCGAGCCACCGTCTTACCCACTTAGCCACCGTGATCCAAGGGCCGTAACTAGCTCAGAGCAACGAGGGGGGGGGCAAGAAGTGTTCTCAGGGGTGCTGTAAAATTGACGGACAATTTATATCTATTTTTTTATGGTCGAAAATTTTTTCACAGGGGGAAGGGGGGGGGGGGCAAACTTTTTGCAGGGGGCGGGGGCCCTAGTTACAGGCCTGAAAACATATGGAGTTAAAACATACTATTATTCTCATCTACAAACTTATTGAACCCTGCAAACCTCCATATTTCTCAAATACACCGTTGGTTGGCTACCAGAAGGACGTTTGTTTGTACTAGGTGACGTTATGGAGAGCCAGACAAGGGCATTATTCGAGAATATTGCAGATACCGTAACCTCAATTGTTAAAATTTCTAAATTGATATACATATTCAACAATTGGTACTATTTAAGACAAATTGAACAATCTTGTGGGGGCTCGTGGGCTGTTGCTCTTGCTCAGTTTTAAGTCATTGACGTGGGCTTATATTTCGTTTTATGGAAACCTATCTTTATATGCTTTACTGGTTGAATTTTTCAGGAAACGATACCCCCTGCTGAGATGATAGAAGTAGAAATACCTGGTTATGCTACAATACAGAAACCATCATCGTTAAAACGTAATGGTAAACCAGGTAACAAGAAAGTTACCTTATCACCAGACGTGCAGACGTCCGATAAAGACTTCTTCTCTCAGTCCCAGCCACAACAAGCCGCCATCCATGATACTTCCACATTAACCCCAGGTTACCCTCGCGTCATCACATATATACCACCAGAGCAAAGACAGAATGCACCCGAACCCTTATACAGCAGACCTGGGAGCAGACAATCGGATATCCCTATTTCAGAACCATATAGAACCTACCCTGCCAATATCCAGAAACATCCGGCACAATCTCCCCAGTACTTGCCAGAAGCTCCCCAATATCCCGCGCAGTTGCCAGCTCACGTTCGCTATGGATCCTTGCCACCTACTCATATACTCAACCAGACGTCTCCAACTTCAAAATACGGCTCGCTTCCACGCGACAATTCGCCAAAATTTCCGGTAGAGATAAAAGACTTCAGGACGTCCACGCCTGTAAAAAGCTCCATGGACGAGAAACCGTTATATACCCCATCACCTGTTCCCCAGTCTTATTCAACCTCCATGCAGTATACACCACGACAGCAGCCCACCGTTTACAACCAGGCCAATACTTACAAAGTTCAAACCTATGATATTGCTCAAACGAAATATATTTCAGACGAAGATTATGATAATACTGTCGAATCCACGCCTATGCTTCACACACCACCGCAGCAAAACCAGGGGACATGGAGACAGTTGCCGGTTAAGCACGAGGAAAGTGAACTGCCAGAACCACAACCGTTACAATATCCCTCAGCTAAACGTCCAATGACTTTTGAGCAACAATCTTCGTCAAAAATGAGTATATATGACAATATGCTGGCTGGTTTGGATGAACTGAACACAGATCTATAAACTATAAATAAAAGGAAAAGTATTATGTTAAAAATAAATCTCAGGGCTTCTATATCATTAAAAGGCTGTTTGTTATACTGTAAGTTCACGATGTCGTTCTCGATTTAAAGTGTGACATAACGAAATTGTCTGGAGAAACTGAGGGCGGGAATCTGTGTAGAATAATTAATTGTACTGGTGATAACTTATTTGACAATCAAGCAATATACGTTGCAGTATAGCCTATGAGGAACAAGGGTGTTGCTTGTATAAGGTTGAAAACGAGGAAATCACAAATCACACTGGTCGGAAATATTTTAGCTACTTGTTGTCCAGAGTCATCTGAAACTATAATGGATAATGGATTAATCTGAGAAATGGTTATTTTTTTACGTGGGTTACTTATATAAGGTAGAATAAGTTGGCCAGGACTTAAATTGCTTATTCTTAATATCCATAATGCTGAATGGGGCCGTTTTAAATACAGTGGTTAGAGATCCTAAAGAGACGAGATTTACCCCCCTTTTAAAATCGATCTGACAATTTTTTAAATAGATCACAATTTTAACTCGCCGAATTAAGAAAGGGTAAGCAATAATTTAAGTTTGTATAAAAGTGGAGGGGCGGGGGACTAAAGTGATGTTCATCTTTTTAGAGGCGTTCATTGTGGTCGTGGGTGATACGAATATGTACATGCCTTTCTTGTGCAGATATAGATAGGCCTGCTTATATCAATAGTGCTAGTTGCTTCGAATACTTCTCAGAGCAACAATTTTGGCTGTTTGCGTACGCCCCAATAATTTAAAGAATCGGCAAAATGATATACAAATATAATATATTGTTGTATTTATTATGAATGTTGTTATATTTGTTGTAAGCAATTAATTGTTTTATTTAATTAGTGGTTTAATTATTCCGTAAGTTAGCAAATATTATTGTTTTTATTTGTGAAATAACATGTTGACCATTATGTAATAACACAAATAATTATTAAATGGCGGAGTTTTTCTTTTGTTTTTTAACTTTACTTGTTAAATTGTAAAAAAAAGGATTTTTGCACCTTTATTTTCCACTCATAACGGTTTATTCTGTATTTACTTTAATTTTTAATAACATAAATCCAATAGTGTATATCTACTTCAGTTTGAACCACAAACAGTGTTCAATATCAACTCTTGCCATTATATTTACTCATTTATAGACGTTTTAAAGTTTACTTAGAATTTCCCAGACAGTCTGGGTTAGGATAACGAAAAAAAGAGAGTAAATATGATACTATACATATAGAAACGATATTATATTAAATGCAGGGTCTATATACAAAACATCTTCCAAATAACTTGATTTCTCTCAAATGTAAATTTGCATTCTTAAGTCAGTATTTTTATTTGATTTTAACTGCTGATTGGTTTGCGAGCACAACATTATTATATAATATTCTTCGTTAAAATGTGTTATATAGACCTAATAAAGTGTGTTATAGGTGCCACATTAGCTGTGTTTTTAATTTTAAAAAAAAAAACCCAACTTAATAGAAGACGATTTATACCCCGGTCTCGAGAAGATGGTGCATGGTAATTTTTATTAAAGAAAATCTGTTAATTATTATTGATATTTCTGATAAGGAATATTGAAACTTGCCACCCTGTATAATATAATATTTTACAGACCGCGAAGGTTTGTGATCTCACGCTAATACAATGTACATATATTATAAAGTCATACTATTGTTATTGCCTTGTCAAGTGAAACATGTTGGCAGATTAATGTCATGTTGTTATGTGTATTAGTATACAACCTTTTAGTCCTTATTTCAATGATTTGTCTCCTCTAAGCCTGGATAAATAAGGTGCTATTAAATCTAGTCTAGATTATCTTTATTCATGCAGTCTATAATAAGCTTCCATTATATGGCCTATAAATGTATAATATAGGATATGGAAATACTCAGTATTGTTGTTGTGTTGTTTATTGAGAACAGGGTTAAGATATTTTGTTGTTTCTTTTTACTGTCGCAAATATTTTGTCCATAATTGACAGTTTAAGAACCACCAAGGCAATCTGTTATATCATCCTCTAATGGGGTGCATGGCCCGGTAGCTAGATGGACCAGTCACCATATATGGCTCATGCTAATTACTACACTAATCAACTAGTTGAAACAGCTGTCCCTATGGTCATTGGCCCTGCATGATCTACGATGCGTTAGTCCCGAAATCACCTGGTAAGTTCCTCGCAGAATGTGCCTAATATCACATTGCATGACGTATGCCAGTCTATATACCGGTTGATGTAGGAGGAAGCAAAGTGGGGCGTTAAACGCTATTTCATATCCTTTACGCGCCATGTGTTTGTTGAGTTTTTGAATATTTTAGAACATCTCATTTTTGTACCAATATTTAGAACCCCAGACTTTTAATCTTTGGTGTGTGATTCCAGGTAAACGTGTAATTATACCTGACAGAGACAGTTTCACGCAAATATACCTGACAGAGACAGTTTCACGCAAATTTACCGGATGTAAATCAACATCGTTGTCGAACCAAATATAGTTTTAAAAACAAGACATTGCATTAAGCAAGTGTAAATGCTGAACATATAACGTCTAGGCAATTCAAATTGTCTGAAATTCTTACCATGTGGTCTCAGACTAGCAATTATTTGCCCATTGACTTCAATGTTAAATGGCTGTAACATCACAGGCTGTAGCTTTTTGCTCAACATTCCGTTTGTTTCAATCTTTATAGGCACAATGGGGACCACATTTGGCAATCTTCTCATCATAATTTTGTAGGGGGTTGACCATTTAGATTTTTTGCTACGGGGATTTGAAGTTGACTGGGGTGAAAATCTCACTTCCGACGCAATGATTGCTCTGCAGAAAGACACTTTACACCCCCTATCCCCCCGCTGTAATATCATCAGTATTACCCAAAACTGCTATAAAATTGAAAATTTGATCCCTTTTTTCCAATTTTAGACCAAAAAGTCAACCCAAAAATGCAGGAAGAGGGGAGAAAAAAATTAAGGGAAAAATTGTCTATTTAAAACTCGCACTCATGAAATAAGGGGAAATAATTACTAGTCTTAGTCCATGGACTGGAGGCAGACCACCATTAACTTTCACCATATCGGTGGACTGGACGCAGACCACCATTAATTTCACCATCTCGGCGAATTGTAGTTCGTCTATTTATAGCAATTGTCTCTCTCTCTCTCTCTCTCTCTCTATTTTCTCCCCTTTTGCATGCCCATTTTTGTTGATTTTTTTGGTCTAGAATGGACGAAGAGGGTTTGAATTAACATTTTCTGCCAGGTTTTGGTAAATATTCATAATTTTGAGGCGGAAGGATAACAGGGTTATCAGGTTGGCTACGGCGATATGTACGGCAACTAGTTACATGTTTTTAGTATGCTTCTTCAAGTTTGTGTATCTCAAAATTTTGGTGCAAAGACATGACCGTATGTTCCTCTGTCTGTAGTGAAAAGCATTCAACCCAACGAAAATTTGGGGAAAAGTTGGAGGTGGGCAAAGAGGCCAGAATTAACATTGAAGTCAATGGGGAAATTAATGGTGGTCTGCCTCCGACTAAGACTAGTAATTATTTCCCCTTATTTCATGATGTAGCGCGAGTTATAAATAGACAATTTTTCCCTTAATTTTTTCTCCCCTCTACCTGCATTTTTGGGTTGACTTTTTGGTCTAGAATTGGAGAAAAGGGATCAAATTTGCAATTTCATAGCAGTTTTGGGTAATACTGATGATATTACAGCGAAGGATAGGGGGTGTAAAGTGTCTTTCTGCAGAGCAATCTAACATTGTGTCGGAAGTGAGATTTTTCACCCCAGTCAACTTCAAATCCCTGTAGCAAAAAATCTAAATGGTCAACCCCCTACAAAATTATGTTGAGGAGATTGCTAAATGTGGTCCCCATTGTGCCTATAAAGATTGGAACCAACGGAATGTTGAGCAAAAAGCTACAGCCTGTGATGTTACAGCCATTTAACATTGAAGTCAATGGGCAAATAATTGCTAGTCTGAGTTCCCATGTGACAGGAATTCTCAGTGGATTTGTCTCCCTTCCTTCTATCACAGGCGTTATTTCAGTGGATTTGTCTCCCTTCCGCCACAAGAAAAAAAAAAAAAGTAATTGCAGCAACGTCAGAGTCTTCTGTATGCTGGAAGAAACGTTAAATGATGCTTGAATTTGACATTAAGTAAGACACAGTTCCAAATCATAAACATATTATAATATAAAACGAAATTTAGACGCCATAAAATCCGACTCATTTTAAATTCCATATATGAGGTTGTCCACTTATTATTCACTGAATATTTCCTGTCTGTCTTTCATTACCCCATCGGATTTATTATGGACATTAAATGTACACCTAATGACAATGTACAATTAAATTAACTGCATGGAACGTTTCCGCATGAATGACATGGGAAGCAATATTTAGTGATTTGAATACTAATCCAGGTTAACTAACACATTAATCGATTATTATGCAGGAGCGCGATAAGACCTTGGGTTAATCGCGTAAATAATATACCAGAGGACCCAAAGAAAGAGAGAGAGAGAGAGAGAGAGAGAGAGAAATGGGGTTTAACGTCCACTCGACACAAACTGGGTCATTTCGGGATTAACATATGGTTTAATTTTATTTCAATAATTCGCTTGCGCGTAGGGGTCTTTAGCAGTGGGAGGAAACCGGAGGACCCGGAGAAAACCCACGAGGTTGGACAGGCGATCCTACTCCTTGTCACGTACAACCGGGGATTCGAAACCACGCCAGTTGACTCAATGACAGGCTTTATGATACAGCAGGCACGTGCTAACCATTCGGCAAAGCCACCCCCCACCCCCAAAGAAAGAGGGCTGGCTATTAGTTAACAAGAGCCAGTGACGAAAATACTACCTCATAAGGAACGAAGGGTTTGTTACCTTCTATCTCCAGAGAGAAATTAAAGACTATAATAAGACAGATCCTAGACTAATAGGTGTTGGGACTTTTGGGGCATACGAAAGTCAACACAAACGGGCGACGATTTACTCACAGTTCCTTCGGCCCTCTACTTCAAAAATAATTCGTGGTAGGCATGAAGGTTGTCCATTTATTGGACAAGGTTGCCTATTGTATCTCTAACAATAATTCGGCCTTAATACATCGATTTCTACCCCACCCCCACGGTTAAATCTATTTGTTAAGGCCACTCAATTCTCGTCAAGGTCGCTGAGATGTAAATAAGGTTAGGCCACGTGATTGTTGGCGAGATTGTGGGTTAGGGTAAGCTTTGGGGCTAAGGTTAGGGATGGGATTACCGCTTGCCCAAACTTGGAGTTGGCCCACGTTGGAGATAACTGATGGGACATAGAAATCCGAATCAGCAGGAACTCAAATTCTATTTATGTAAGGAATAGTGGATTCGACACAATCTAAATTCTTATTACAAGCTATACATATATTGTGACCTATTTTACGATATACGTAATAATATAAACAGCTCTTACTACCGTTTGCGAGTTCTACTCTACACGGGTTTTCTAGAAGGTCGGAAAACAATGCCATAAACAATATGTGTTTTTGTACTGTGAAATTTATCGTTCTGGTTCCTAATCGTCCACACATCGCTGAATCGAAAGCATTAACTGATTAAAAGGATTTTATACACAACATAAATTATTAGGACACAGAAACCTTTACTCATTTCATATTTATATAGACAACGACGAATTCCTTTAAATCGATTTATAAACCATATTGAATGTAGATGTTGCTTTACAAACGCCAAAATGCGTCAACGTTTTATGTGTATTTGGCTGTCTATACGTGTTTAATAATAGTTTGGCTTGCTAAGAATCGATCGGCTATAGCAACAGAGATAATATCAATAATAAAGGTATAAGAAATGGCACGTGGTAGATCTTAAGTTACACCCAATATTTCAATAATATTATAGGTGATCGCATACAGAACCTCCTATATCCAGAAAAAAATGGCGTACAAGTGTTGTGAATTGTAAATATAATACTTCTTAGTGAGGCCCCGAATAAAGCCATCGCCTACTTGATCCGTGCGAAAATACGCCCGCGCATGGACCAAACAGGCGATGGCACTGTCAGGCGTTCCTAGTCAAAAGTGTTGTCAGTTATATTTAATGACGTCGTTCAGTGAAACTTTACATTTACCTTCAATTTCCCAAATAGTATGTCATTTGCTTATACCATATCCCACAAGACAAGAACGGCAACATTTAAGATTTTTAAATTCAATACAAACTAAGCATGACGTTACTTTTAAACGATAATGATTACTTTATTCTCACAATCATTAATGGTTTTATAATGTCAAAAACATACCACTTTACAAAGAAGAATTCAAAATGTGTTAATCTTCCAGGGCAATTGATAAAAAAGTCCTGCCATATTAGATAACGATATTGTCTGAGCATGTTGTAATGTACAAGTGGAATCCTTGTGTATTTTCATGAATTCTCGTGGTTGAATCAATGAAGACAAGACTTTTGTGGGTTGTTAATATTTATCTCTATTCTTTGGTTAACAATAATCAACCTAACAGCAGAAAATTAATGTAACAATGATTGGTTCAATGCTTAATAGTAAATAAGCTCCAATGTAGATATGGAATTTGACATAAGCTTGTGTCTCCAAATATCCAAATACAGTTAAATCAAGTTGGATTAAGATCCATTAAAATATAATTTACTGAATTAAGTAATACTGTGCGGATTAGCACGACGTATTAAACATTTAATATTTGGTCGTAATTCACCCTACTATAGTAATAAACACATGCTGCCAATATCATACATCTGACACGTATTTGGCGGAATAGGGCGAATGTTATTCCTGTGATGCCACTGTCTTTTCAGGACGGAGGGTCTGACAAGGACAGCTGTCTAGTCGTTCGTATGG